TTGAAATCTTCTTAATTTATTTAAGACTTAATAAAATGAATTTTTCTTGATTTGTAAATCCAAATGACAAAACTAAAATATTAGAAGATTCATAAAAATTCAAATAAAAATTATAAAAATCAAATAACATAAAATTAATTAAATTAAATTAATTTTGATGGGAATTGGATCCGAATAGGCTAGGATTTAATCAACGCACAAGAGCACTCCATCTTCAACTGTGGACCACGATCCACACTAGCTTTTTCAAATTGACCCAGCAGTTCCCATGACCCACAGTCCACTGCTGAGGCTCATGATTGGACCGCCAAAGTCAATCATGTGGCTAAGGGACGTCATCCCAGTCCGTGGATTTTAGGTTTTCCTCTAGAGACAAACCATGATCCGTTAGACCATGATGCAACTACGACTCTATAGTACATAGAGGTAATATCTCGTACATGTACATACTGCATCCTTAATGGTGGATTACTATATCAATACGACTATCTATGTACATACTGTATGATGATACAATGATGAGGTTTTAGTCTTGTCTCTATAGACTATTCATCACACACAAGGGTCACACAGTGTCTCGGCTCTCATCCAGGTATACTCCGACCTCATCAAAGGCTAACCCACTAAACCCTTACTGGTTATATCTCTATGCCCAGGTACCTTGGCTTTTTCAACTCGACTGGCCTAGAACGTTCAGCTTAGTACGAGTATCGGTAAATTACATTTACCTAGTATAGTCCATAAGAAGGCCACACTCCCACTGAGTTTATGTTTCAATATATACAATACTCATACAAACTCTTATAAAACCTTTAAAGGCTACATAAACCCAACACTTCACACACTGCAAGTCTACAACACAAGCCATGGCTACAACCTAGATCTCTGAATGCCAATGTTTATCGTAGTCTTTCAATCATATCTATGGAACATTGCCCATGATGTGGTGTCAAATGTTTGCCTCTCTTGATGCAGCTTGGGACAACAAAGGCAAGGCTCCCATCATCATGCACCCTACACAGATAACCTCTACAAACTCTCTTCTCTCGTGTTGGACACAATACATGCCTCACAAGGTTATGTTTAAAGGGTCTTGCTTTGAGGGCCCTGCCTCATGACAAGGTTGCTCACCCCCTCTTCCTGTTCACCAGTGAGATTCCCATCCCAAGGTCATCATATGGTCTTGACACATTCTATACCCTCTTCACTTGTGGTATTCGTCCCTAGACTATACCCTAGAGCTTTGCATGCCTAAGATTGAGTCAGGTCCTTTACTCCTAAGGCTGCCCTAGGGTTTCGGACTCTGGACTTTGGTGTAATAATCTTAGGAGCGAAGCTGTAGCCCATCCCACTATATTAATTTGTGTGGGAGAAAACCCGCCTATGTCCCAGATATGCAAATTAGAATAAAAAATTGTATTACCAAATAGTATGAATTAAAATGAGAATTAAGAAATTGCATAATCCGATGTCTATGTTTTGAACTGAATAAATAATAATTTGTATTAGTAAGTTGTATAATTTGGAATTTATGAAAAATTATAGTATCATTATAAATTTGTATTAGAAGTGTCCAATTGAGCAAGAGTTCACTAGAGGTAACTAATTTACCAGTAAAGAATATGACAAATTCTAACACCTTGGAATGCCGAGATACTTTAATTCCACTGCTTTATGAAACTCTGTTCTCAAACATACTCCGAAGGTGTAGATTTGTACTGAGTAGTAATTTCGTGTTGTTCTTTGCAAGTCGTAGGGGAAGCACTAAGTTGTGAGAATATATATTAAGAGACCATTTAGTTTTGGTACAAGAAGATCACAAACATTATTAGCCATTAGATTTGAAATCTGGACACTAAGAATGAGTTATGAAGTTCAATAAAAATGTAATTGAGCAATGTGCATAATCAATGACACAATCTTATCCATCGGATTATAGGACTAAGTGTGATCTTTGTGTCAAAAGTTTAAGGAAAATGTTTATTTAGAGCCGAGGCTCTAAACAATCAAATTAAAGTGCACTTAAAAAATTTCATTAGAAGAGATTGTTTGGATGCCTTAATCTCCCCTGGATTTGCAATGCATTTTTAAGATGTTTTGTTTTTTAAGTAAGGTAGTCCTATAAGGAAACTTGAAGAAAAGGAGCATAGAATAGTGATAGAGGATATTTAGCCAAAAGACGATCTTCAAAGGCAGCTACTGAAAGAAAGGCAAAATAATCTAGGGACCCACAGCATCTTTAACTTAAAAGAAAGTATAAGATGAGGCCATTAAACTTTGGGTGTGGTTTGTATAGAGCCGAGGCTCTAAACAATCAAAGTAGAGCGCACCTTTAAATTGTTTCGAGAAATGTGGTTTCAATACTGGAAATATTTGTGACAACTTTAAAATATATTTATATATCTAATTATAAAATTTAGAGCTTCAAAACTAGTATAGATCGAGTAGATCTATAAAAACTTGAAAGCTTTTAAAATTGATGGTCCACAAATGCATTATAAGATGCACTATTTCCAAAACTTGAAATCTATTTTTTCTCATGTCCAAGCTTCTTGATTTCGAGATGATCAAGTTTTTATTTGCTCATTTTAAGAAGAAATTCTTCCATGCTACATCTACTTATGCTACAAGGGCTTGCATTAGCAATATAAACATGAAAACTGAAATCTTGCACATCACATATAAAGAAGAAAATAGAACTTCTAAAATAACACAACTTTGGAAATGAACTCCATACTTGCGAAAAGACTTACAACCTCCAACATGCCGAACCTCTCCAAGTGAATACTATCAGAGCCTAATACACAATGTGGCAAAAGATTGTTGAGCACCATGTCACTTGGAGTAATCTATCTAATCAGCAATAAGTAGCACAATGGTACTTTCCCCTCTGAATTATCATAGAAAAGCATTTACCCGAACAAGAAGAGCAAAATGCTCGGAACTCATTCTCCTCGGGACATAGCATGATACATTGACTCATGTTTAGGGATATTTTTGTATCAGAGCAATCAACACCAGTTTCGGTATGAGGCCGCCAACCCCAAAAGGGCAATCCTAGGTCAGTTAGTTGAAATATCCAACCCCCAAATCTCTCTAACCCTAGAGAGAAGACCCTAGCCAAGGGTTATTATAGGAGAAGAGGCTAGACCACACTCATCTCCCCCCCCCTTTCCCGCCCTGCCCCGCCCCCCCAATCGGCCGTGGCTATGCCTTCCCCCTCCATAGCATCAGCCCCTTGTTAAGGTTGGAGGTCATTTTGATGGGTTTCCAAATTTCACTGAGTTGTCTTAATCCATATATCAGCCTTGCCGTGAACTTTTCCAAATTCTCCTAATCATGGACAGATGCTTGGCATAGCTATTTCAACATTGTGCCTGAAAACATGAAATTTGGATGAAGATTCAAGTGTGTTTCAAAGTTATACCCTAAGCCTAGTTTATGAAGAAAATTTGTGTTGCGGCGAGACCTGGGATTTGAGTTTGAATGAGGGTCCAATATAGCATAAACGTCGTGAAAATGTTGAATGGAGTAAGAAGAACATGTTATAAAAAGTTCACTGTCAGCAACAAATTCGACAACCAAAGCCTTGTGGAGAACTTTCTAATGGCCTTCACTGGTACAGCAAACATGGTGTGGCATAGTGAATATATCTCTATGCCAATGTGGGATGATGGGATGACATCCGAGTTTTGATGAGGAATCAATTTCATGACAATCAAGTAAATATGCCTTCTATCAATTTCATGAAGATGGGATGCGTTTTCATGTGCTTTCCAAGTTTTCATTGCGAGCCCTGAGCCTGTGTTGACGGCTCGCTGTGAACTATGGAATTTCATACTTTGGTGATGTTGATTGATTGTGGTTTGTTTTAGATTAATTTGGACCAATCAGAAATTGTTTGCAAAAAGATTGAATTCAATTTGAAGATGATTTCGCTCTAGGTTAATCACCTCAGGGCAAATAGTGGTTTGTCGTACACAGATAACCTCTGCAAGATTCCCTTCCCTCGTGTTGGACACCATACATGCGTTTAAAGGGTCTTGCTTCGGGGGCAAGTGAGATTCCCAGCCCAAGGCCATGGCACACTATACCCTTTTCACTTGTTGTACTGGTCCCTAGACCCTACCCTTGAGTGTCTGCATGCCAAATGTTAAATCAGGTCCTCTACTCTTAAGGCTGCCTAGGATTTTGTCTCTTCGCAATTAATTTTTAAGAAAGGGACCAGGTATACACCACATTGTGGTTTTCATTCCTATCACTAACACTATCTCGTTAGCACGTTTAAAAATTTACTTAAAAAACTGGGTAGGGACTTGTCTTCCCCACTGAATACCCAAAAAAAAAGAAAAAAGCAACAGTTGCCGGGGATTTCAGAATTCTGACTCTTGTGTAATAATCTTAGAAGCCAAGTTGTAGTCCATCCCACTATATTAATAAGTGAGGAAGAAAACCCACCTATATCCCAGATATGCAAATTGTAAGTTATAAGAAATTGTATTACCAAATAGTATGAGTTAAAATGAGAATTGAGAAATTGCAGAAGCTGATGTGTATGTTTTGAACAGAATAAATGAGAATTTGTATTAGTAAGTTGTATAATTTGGAATTTATGAAAAACTATAGTAATATTATAAATTTGTATTATAAGAGTGCAATTGAGCAGGAGTTCACTAGACAGCCAAATTTAGAATATGACAAATTCTAACAACTTAGAATGCTGACATACTTATTTCACATTCGATGGCTAAGACGAAGTGTGATCTCTCTGTGTCAAAGTTAATGGCCTCATATTATATTTTCTTCAGTTAAATCGGTCGCTCGATTAAGTTGTCGTTCTTTGAGAAGTCGAGTTTCTTAACCTTTGAATATCGTCTTTTGGGTAAGTATCTTCCATCAGTATTCTATGCTATTTTTCTTCAAGTTTACTAAAAATGGATTACCTTACTTAAACGCAAAATATCTTAAAAATGCATTGCAAATCCAAGGGAGAACAACTCTTGCTTTTATTTGCTCACTTTAAGAAGAAATTCATCCATGCTACATCTACTTATGCTACAAGGGCTTGCATTAGACGATACAAACATGAAAACTGAAATCTTGCACATCACATGTATTAGGATGGCAGACTATGCGCTGAAGTTCTTGTTTACCTTGAAGTTCAGCGTCCCCCACCACCCCCTGCACCACTACCAGCTCCAGCTCCGCCACCTGAACCACCACCCACGCCCACCCCGACTCCGACCCCTATCCCTATTCCAAAACCTCCACCCACCCCAGCACCCTTTCCTAACCCACTGCCTAAACCTCCTCCATGAGCTCCACCTAAGCCTCCGGCACCACCAACTCCACCACCTCCACCAAGACCTCCACCAACTCCGCTGCCACCACCACCACCGCCACCAAGTCCACCAACACCACTCAAACCACCACCAACACCACCGCCTACTCCTCCCCCTGCACCAAAGCCGCCACCATTTCCTCCACCAGCTCCACCACCGCCGCCACCACCGAATCCTCCACCTCCACCAACTCCACCGCTTGCACTGCCGCCTACACCACCACCCGCACCAAAGCCTCCACCATGTCCGGCTCCTCCACCAACACCACCGCCACCACCTCCCCCAAATCCCCCACCTCCACCAACCCCGCCAGTACCACTGCCAACACCACCTCCCGCACCAAAACCGCTACCATGCCCCCCTCCAGCGCCAACACCACCACCACCACCACCACCTCCCCCAAACCCTCCACCTCCACCAACTCCGCCAGCACCACTGCCAACACCACCTCCTGCACCAAAACCGCTACCATGCCCCCCTCCAGCTCCACCACCACTACCGCCGCCACCACCACCACCAAATCCTCCACCACCACCAACGCCTGCACCAACACCTCCTCCAACACCTCTACCAGCACCAAAACCACCACCACTTCCAGTACCACCACTTCCACTTCCAGCACCACCACCACCTCCAAAACCTCCACCTGCACCACCACCAACGCCCCCACCAGCACCACCCCCAACACCGCCTCCAGCACCAAACCCTCCTCCTTTACCTCCTCCAACACCACCGCCTAAACCACCACCACTGCCACCTAGGCCACCTCCTCCAAACCCACCACGACCCTGGCAGCGGTCACCAAAGCGACACCCCGATTCTCGACCGAACCCTGATCGCCTACCACCGATGAATCGGGAGACACCCAACCCATTATCCTCTCCATCCTCAGGCCTTTGTCCTCTAACATTGTGAGCTAGGAAGTAAACTACAATGAACAATGCAGCTAGTTGCTTCATAAGGCCATCCATGGTGTATGGGCAAGTGGGGGTATTCTCGCTTTTACCACCTCAGTGCTCTTTCCAGCTTCTTCTTCTTGTTTATATATTGCACGGTGGGTGGAGTGAAGGGTGTGCATTTACTGCATTTCCGGACCGCGTAGAGACGGTTGGGGCATCGACATGCAATTATCGCCGATAGTCAAAGAGAACACCTCATCTCCATCTGTCCCCCTCCCTCTTTGCATTACCAAACTCCATAGTAATGGACCACTCAGTTACTTTTTGCCTTTCCGAAATGATCTTATGCACCCACCGGATCACATTTTCTTTATTCACTATCTCTGATAAAACCCCAATTTAGGACTATTTTTTAGGACATCGAATCTTAGATATTGACCCCTCAACTTAGTGTTTGATATAGTAGAAAAAAATAAAAAAATAATGCTCTTGTAATGTATTGTTGTAGTGAATTTTGATATTTGCTTCTAGTTTGACTTGGGTTGTCGGCGATCCAAGTTGATGTGCTCATTCATATTAGGGTTGACAGATATCTTTATTTTTGTATAGCATTAAATTGAAGTTGGGTCCTCCTCACGTGGTTCCAGTTCTATCCCTTTTTGTAAAAAAATAAGGCAACCTTATCAAGAAATGGTTTTGTTTACTTTCTTTCCTGGTAATATAGTTTGTTTCAGACCTTTCAATTTGTGTTCTTGGCAAACACTGAATATTTACATATATTATCATGGGGTTAGGCCTTAGGTTATATTGGTAACACCTCTAGAGGAGGCATCATATTTTTTTTAAAAGAAAACGAGTGCGTATGGTGAACTTTCATGGTCAATGGGTAAAAATTAGGAGAGAAATCTGCAACGAGAGGAGTCTTGAGGAGCATTGTGCTCCAACCTTCGAAAATGATGTTACAAAGCATTGGTTACACTTGTTTATGGGATTGTATTAAAAATATTTATTTTTAGTACAAGTCACAATCATACTTAGTCATTACTTAGTCATTGAATGCGAAATCTTACAAATTGAAAGGCATCATAATATTTAAAAAATTTTATTTTAGACTTCATGCTTTATATAAATGACACATCCCCAATAACCTGATTGTATCTCTAATAGTGAACAATGACTATAACATCCTTATACTAAGGGATCGGTTTTGACAAGGCTACAACCCTTTTTACTGGAGTAAGGCTGTAGCCATATCCACCATCCATCTATTTGATGGGTGCAAATTTTCCATAGCTCTTGCTAAAGGAAATAGGGCTTCTGTGCCTCGGTTTACAACAAAATTCGCTCCAAGCCTGGGTTTAATGGCGACACGTCTCCGGAAATACGACTTTCCTTTCTTCTTTCAAAAGCTCATCTACCACACGAGGGTAGGGTTTTCTGAATTGTAAATCAAGATTTATTCTAAAGACCTGTTTGGGTACATGGATTTTAAACCATGGATTCCTAATATCTTGGATATTGTCAAAATCTATTGTTTGGATTGTTTAATGACTAGGATACTTAAAATCAGAAAAATCAAAATAATGGAAATAAGGCCTACTTTTCTATGATTTCATTTCCACACCAAAACCTGTGTTTTTATATTTCCAAGGCCCATGGATTTCACTCATTGGCTCCCTCAACCCGAAACATAGAGAGCATAGGTTTGAAAATTTTAGAGAGAGAAATTACCTAAATTTTTTAAAAAGAGAAACTATCTCAAAATTTATAGAGAGAAAAACTATATCGAATTTTAACTTTTAGAGAAAGAAAGTATGTTAAAAATTTAGAGAGAGAGTATGTTAAAACTTTAGAGAGAGAGTACTAATTTTTTTAAAGTGATGAACTATTTCAAAATTTTAGATAAAGAAACTATCTAAAATTTTAACTTTTAGAGAGAAATTATGTTAAAATTTTAGAGAGAGAAAGTATGTTAAAACTTAAGAGAGAGAAAGTACCAAAAATTTTTAGAGAGATAAATTATCTCAAATTTTTAGAGAGAAACTATCTCAAATTTTAAGTTTTAGAAAGAAACTATCATATTTTAGAGAGAGAAAGTACATGCAAATTTTTAGAGAGAGAAACTATTTGAATTTTTTTTAGAGAGAAACTATCTCATATTTTAATTTTTAGAAATAGAAACTATATCAAATTTTAGAGAGAGTACATTAAGAGATTTAGAATAGAAACAATCTAAAAAAAATTTAGTGAGATAACATACATCAAATCTTAAGTTTTAGAGAGAGAAAGTATTATTAAAATTATAGAGAAAGAAAGTATTCTTAAACTTTTAGAGAGAAACTATTATAAATTTTAGAAAGAGAAACGACCAAAAAAAATTTAGAGAGAGAAATATCTCATTTTTTAGAGAGAGAAAATATCTCGAATTTTTAGTTTTACAGAGAAACTATCTCGACTTTTGAATTTTAGAAAAAAATATGTATTAAAATTTTAAAAATAGAAATTATATTAAATTTTAAAAAGAGAAACTACCCAAAAATTTTAGAGTGGGAAACTATCTCAAAATTTTTGGAGTTAGAAACTATCGCAAAATTTATGGTTTAAAGAGAAAAAACATATTAAAATTTTCGGGAGATAAACTATATCAACTTGTAAATAGAGAAAGTACATAAAATTTTTAGGGAGAGAAACTCTCTCAAACTTGAATTTTAGAGAGAGAAAGCATTTTAAAATTTAAGATAGTAACCATATTAAATTTTAGAGTGATAAAGCACATAAAACTTTTTTAGAAAAAAAAAACTATCTCAAAATTTTTATAGAGAAATTATCTCAAATTTTAGCTTTCAGAAAGAGAAAATATTTTAAAATTTGAGAGAAAAGCTATATCATATTTACAGAGAGAAAATACTTAAAAATATTTAGAGAGAGAAACTACCTCAATTATTGAAGAGGGGAACTATCTCAAGTTTTAAGTTTTAGTGATGGAGTTTCTTAAAATTTTCGAAAGATAAACTTTATTAAATTTTAGAGAGAGTAAAGCACCTACAATTTTGAAAGAGAGAAATTATATCAAAATTTTTAGATAGACAATTTCAAATTTTAAATTTTGGATATAAAGTATATTAAATTTTAGAGACAAACCATATCAAATTTTAAAGAGAGAAACTATCTCAAACCCAAATTTTGAGTTTTAGAGAGAGAAAGTATATAAAACTTTTAGAGAGAGAAAATGTATCAAGTTTTGTTACCAAACAATAGACATAGAAGTGATTGCATGGAATCCATTAATTTTGTATAGTTTATACAAACAAAAGATTTGCGAAATCCATGACAAAAATCCTTGTTATTGAAAATCCATAGATTTTTTTTTTTGTTTTAAATATCTAAGATTCCTAATTACCTCCTATGCAAACGGGCCCTAAAAGATTTTGTTTTGAAAATGAGACAAATTGTTTATACTATCAGATATGAATGGCTACCAATTTCTTGGAAGAGCTCTAATTTCTCTCGAATCTCTTCCTTCAAAAACTCTCATTAAGTGAACGATTTTTACCCTTTTCCATATTGTGATAAAAATTTCAGCAGCCTCTCCTCAAACAAGAGATAAACTGCGGCCGGTTTCTTGAATCAAGGCAAGGAAAACTTTTGAACGAGATGAAGATCAACACGTATAAGTAGTGGTCGATTTCCAAAGCAAGCTCTCACAAAATTAAAGGAAAAAACCGTAGAAAGATAATGAAATCTTAAATACAAAATTTTCACTCCTTTGATACTTGCCATTTGAGAAAGAAATACCATATCCTAAAAAATCTAGATTCATGGAATTCAACCTCAGCAAAAATTACCTTCACAATTTTCACCTGTTAAAAAAAAAAAAGGGAGCCACAAACCCCAAAATAAAAACAATGCAAAAACGTCATGTCTCTCTCTCTCTTCGTTTTTAAGAGTCTTCTCATTGTCCAAGGCACGTTTGCAATGGTTGTTGATGACAAGTCTATCTGATAAAACAGGGTGTATATAAATTATTATTATTTTTTTCTTTTACCGACCGGATCACTTACAATATCTAATTACAAATAAAACCTTTATTAAAATAAATAAATAAAAACGATTCTCACTTGGTAACACTAAGAATAATTCATTTGTTCAATAAATAAAACTTGATACATTGCTTTATGGGAATAGAATAGCTTAATAAAAATAAAAAAATAAAGTAGGTAAAGTTGATCGAGATTACTTCAACAAGGTTTTTAGTACACCCTACATCGACTCTCCTCCTCCCATAGTGCTCGGGATCAATGATCAATATTGAATCTACTAAGTAAGGCAAAACCCTCCAAAAGTATATAGATCTTATCTAGAACCAAAGTGCTATGGCCTTAATGCCTTAGCCAACTTTAGATTGAGAATTTCCTTAATGCGGCATAGCCCCTAGAGAAAGAACTTAGAGAGAGAGAAGAGATAAGATGAGATGTGTATAGATTTAGGGGAGAAGGGACCCTATTTATAGTTTTTCTATGCCTTAGGGTTTGTTATCTTAAATGAAATCAAATCTAAACCATTGATCTAAAGAGATTTATAAGGTGAGAGATTGTGAGTCATCCATTATTTAGATCTACCATCAAGATTCAGAGGTATGTGTTAAAACTTTATCTTCTACTTTCTAAACATATTTCTATTAAATATTCAAATAAGGAAAATGTATTTATACTTTCTCTTTTTATCGATATTGATTCCTTATTCACATAATTTTTTAATAATCAAATATCTTGATTCACAAGACATACCAAAATTCATTATCTTGATTTCTAAACCAATAAGGCTTAACATAAAATTAGAAAGCCAACTTTGCATGAGGCTTCAATCCACAACAAAATAGAAAGCCAACCTCCAATGGGTGGGGCATGCCACCCTAGGTGGCTCCAAGTGGGCCCCACCCAATTATATCATGTGACAATTTAAATGGGCCCCATACCTTATGGTGGGTCCCTCATATTTTAGTAAATATTTCAATTTATTTTTAGAATTTAAAAATAAAACTTATTTCTCTTTGATTATTTAAAACATTGAAA